TAACATGTGAAACCACAGGCCCGATGTCGAGGAGTCCTTCAACAAGGACCTCAAGGCCATCACGGACGTAGCCCAGCAATACGCCGACACCATCTACGCCGTGACCGTCGGCTCCGAGACGCTCTACCGCGGCAACTTCACCGGCGAGGAGCTCGCCGGCAAGATCAAGACCGTCAAGTCCAAGCTCCCCTCCGGCATCAAGGTCGGCACAGCAGACTCGTGGAACAAGTTCGCCGACGGAACCGGTGATGCCATCATCGGCACCGCCGATATCATCATGGTCAACGCTTTTGCCTTCTGGCAGGGCGCCAGCCGCGATAACGCTACGTATGCATCCCTTCATTACACTTACACACGAGAAAAGAACTGTAAACTAACTTCGCCGCAGCCACGTCTACCTCGACGACATGTTCCAAGCCACCGCACACATCGAGAAAATGGCCGGCGGCCGCGAAAAGGCACCTGAGATCTGGACTGGCGAGACTGGCTGGCCCACTGCCGTTGGCACCGACTACGATGAGGCCAAGGGCGGTCTGGACAACGCAAAGCACTTCTACCAAACCGGTTTCTGCGCGCTGCTTGACTGGGGCTTCAACGGCTTCTACTTCGAGGCGTTTGATGAGCCCTGGAAGCCTGCTTCCATTGGTGATAACGGAAAGGTCGCTGATGAGACGACTTGGGGTGCTATGACTGCGGATCGCAAGACTAAGTTCGATCTTAAGTGCGGTGTTAAGGCTTAAGTGCATTGCGTCCAAGGGGTGTGTATGCGGTGAATATAGACGGTGCGAGGAATGTTGGTACATGTCGATAATAGGATGTGTACGCATATAGAGTATAGACGCATTGCTTTTCCAAACGGAAAGGCCACGGCCGGTTCTTTCTACAATGTATTGTGCAGCCTGATACTGCTGCGAACATGTTTTTTGACCATTTGCTCACCTGGACTATCAGTCGGCTCAGAAACTACACAATAAGGACCTATTTCCACAGAAACGTACATAGCTTGCCTGAGAGCCAGGTAAAAGATAGACTATCGTTGTGTGCATTGTACCTGCTGCATTCATTCAGCCACGAAGTCAAATCTTTGGACTGATGCCAGTTCAAGCCTGGCATCTTATGCAAAAGTTAGGTAAAAGAGAGACTCTCGTGGTTCTCGTTGTACTTGCAGCATGCCCATTCGGAGTGAAATACATGTTCTTGGCCAAAAATTACGGTTGCAGAGGCAAAATGATACCCCAGCACCATCAAAAAGCAAAAATGTTCGATGCACCCTTACGAGCGCCGACGAGCTTGACTCATCGGAGGTTTGAACTCCGGACCTTCAGTGTCCTAACGAGCTGTGAAGCTCTTGTTAGACTGACGTGATAACCAACTACACCAACGAGCCTTGTTTGATGCAAGAATGGGATTTTGGAAAATCCAAGACCTCGAAATTTTGGCCGTACGACGGTCGCAACAGCTTCATTTCTACTCAAAAAGGAGCAGTAATCTATGAGGTAAAGGTATCCATACAGGTAAGATGGGGGTGCCAACGCGGAGGGGAAAATTTTCGGCAAACGTCAACATGGCGTCCTATCAAAACTGACCTAGCCCCACCAACTCCACATCGCGACAACGAGCTACATTCCAACACTTATAAACGATATACGGGTTGCTCGATTTCCATTCCCGGTGTTGATACTGCAGAACTTGGTGCTGAGCCCCCTGAGAAGAGACTTGAACTTCTTGACCCTGCCAAGGACAATGGGTTTGAGTGCGAACTGGATGGTGTCCGTGACAGCGCATACAGAGATTCGTAGTCTGGAGCAAACTCTCGCGATGGCTCTCTGGGTGTATATTCTGGTAGCTGTTCAAAGTCCTCTCTGTCTTCCAATGGTGGTAGGCGTTCGCGGGGTATGCGAGGTAGAATTTCGAGGGGTGTGTTGGAACGGATGGTGAAGTGCTGATCGTTGTATTTGATGCCAATGGATATAGCAAGTGCATAGCGCCGAGTGATAGTGTATGTTTTGAAGGTTGGCACGCACTCTGTGTCATCGATGAGACGGAAGTTTGATGTTAACGTCGTCGTTTTGTTGAATGGTATGGGTCTGTTCATGCCGGTACGCGATATGCAGGTGATGTGCTTGGATACAACGTCCTCGGGGTCCGTTACTGTGTTTCCGCACTTTGTCGTTGAGTATGTTGAGATTGTGACCGTTAAAGAGTCGATGATGCATTCCCGCTCGGCATGGTTGGCGGGGTCGCGCGCGTTGAGCAGGCTGAGTGACAACGGCATATGCTGTCCTGGGCACACCTTTTCGGGGTGGTTCAGCGTGGGAACGATCCGCGGTGTTGAGTTCATAGAGACGCCGGAGAAGACTTTCTTGACTCGAGATCCCTCCTTCTCTTTATTCGGTTTCCAGACCTGGCCATGGAGCACAGAAGATTTGACTTGCGCCCTTCGTGGCATGCCCACTAACGTTCTTGGATGGTATCGTAGTATGTGTTTACACCTCTTAGTCTCTGTCGAGCCACTGAGAATGAGTCTGGCCTGGACGAAGTATGATATCTGTGCCGCACCGCCTGGCCCACTGGTCTTGAGCTGGAAGGATGGCGGAAGTGGATGTGGCTCGCGAAGATAATTGCAGCCGCGTACCATGCCCTTCATTTGGGGTTCGGTCGACTCTGGAAAGACAAACTCAAAGTCCCATGAATACTTCCGCGGTCCAAGATTGCGACAGGAAACTAACTCTTTCTCGCGGTTGAAGAGCCGTATCTTCTCCTCGTATTCATGCCTTTGTGTAGATGGGTGGGTTTTCGAGTTCACGTGTAGAGGTCTGGATGTCTTGGTGACACAACTACCCGCAAAAACCACCTTCAGCGACTCAATGTCTTCCTGCTCTTCTACTGCCAAACATATCTTTCCAGTGACCTTTTCTCCGCTCCTATACGTCTTGCTGCTATCGCCATCGATAATAACCCTCAACGCTGGCACCGTCATTTTTGCTGGGAAGAAGAAGGGATGATCAGCAATGCAGGGACCTCGCAGGGCTTAATAGCGGATGGGTGGGTGTGGACGATTCGCTCAGGTTCCAGGCACGCGGTTATCGGTGCAGTCCAGACTAGGAGAACGTTTGCCGGGGTAGGAGGTATGCCAAGGATGAGAGGATTTGCTGGGCATGCAACTGCGATAGTGATAACGGAAGGTGGAAGGTGGAATCCGCCCAAGAAAGGGAGGCTGAGTGCATGAGGATATTGGGCCTATATGTTGCTTACCGTTGGCTTCGCGCGTACCTTGCCATTTCGAACGTCATCTGGTTGCCAAGGATCTACCTTGAAGCCTTTGGGTTGAAGGCATGATGTATGCGCATACGTTGTTAGGGCTGCGCTGTCAAACCCTAGATGGAAGGGATGTTCGTGGTAGGCGTAATCGTGAACCAAGCTACCCGTTTCATCCCTATCCTGATCATATCGATCGTCCACGGATTGTCCAACTTACGCCGCATCACTTTTACAGGCCCGAATACCCAAGAGCCTTTTGCAGCCATTCTTCCGCAGAGTGCTGGACAGCGGGATGCAGCCAAGCAGGCCATGTTGTCTTGGCTGGTAGTCTGGATTCAGCCACGCTGATACCCCAGATCCGCCCCGCTAGCATCTGTAGAAGAACCTTTGCCATGGTAGCAGAGGAATGGTTGTCTCCACATGTACTCCGCGATCCAAAATCTAGAGATCAAGCGATCTGTTAGCGACGCATATTGCACCGGCTGTTATGAGGGATCAACGTCATAATTTTGGAGAGAAGCAGAGAATGGGCGGGGTTTCTCGAGGCGTGCCACATCCAGCAACGGCGCCGCGGTAGGTGCTCGCTTCGAGATTGGGTACGCTCGAATGGCTCTTGGCCTCCACAAGACGACGATTGGCGGACCGATTTGCCTGTGCTGCTCGGGGAGAACGAGAGTCCAGCTGCTCACTTCTCCGGAGGCGGGTTTGTTGCCCGCTTCGCCCCGTGCCACAATAACGGCGTCCTGGCGTCAACACGGGAAGTGCGCCTCTCGTGAACATGAATGAATGTTGTGAGCTGAATCCGGCGACGGCGTAGCGTTGGTGTAGATGTGGAGGAAGGACCACTCTGGGCTTTAGTTTAGTGGGGTTTTCAGATCGCACTAGGGCCGCACGTGGCGAGGTATCGATAAGGGACAGGACCTCGGGAGCCATCGTGGCAGCTGAACATGCGGCTGACATTATACCAGTTGCCTTGGTCTTTACAATCGAAACATCCTGCTACTATCTTGTTCTCATCTAGCTTTGTGTTTAACGCTACCCTCAAACCTTATTTAGTTACAAGAAACTTGAGGGAAATGAGATAGCGTCACTGAGGACATGTAATTCCTAGTAATCGAAGGTTGGCATTGGTGAGAAGACAGTTCGAAGATGCAAACTAGACTGCATCGATTCATGTGCGATTCATCCTCAGCGTCTGTGGTGTTGATGCCAGTATCGCCTGACCATACCTCGCCGCGTCAAGGTAGTAATGATGCGCACCAACTGATGTCTGGTCCTGATAGTGATGCGTTAAAAACATTGCTCAATCAATGAAGCGCCTGGCACAACTGCATCTAGAACTCGTAGTCTGTTACGCCGTACGGAACTTGTGTGCGCCTACTGGGTGTTGTGAGATCTGAAGCACCGAAACTCACGAGAGTGCAATTCTCACACAAACTTGACTCGTTTGGTTTTTTATATACTGCTCAGGAGTATGAGAGTAGATGCTGATTAATGTCGAAATGTTCCCTGTACGTGATGTTAGTGGTTCTGGTGATGCAGGAATGCCTCCAGTCGTGTTTCGGTAGTCGCGCCCAGACCTCAACGCGTGCTCACGCGTCAGGGTCCACTAAAACTATCCACGATCGCATCGCACCTTCACGCTCACCACTCCAAAGACAGTCACACCGCAATCGCATACTCGCTATCTTTCGAACGACGTCGTCTTCAGATCCTCACATACAGCATTGTAACATACAATGCCGCCCAGGAAGAGCAATGTATCGGCGGTGTCAAACGAAGAGAGTCCCGCACCACCCAGATCAGTACCCAGAGAGGAGAGCTTGGGTGTCGAGGTATGTCGCATGCGACTGAGGTCAATTGGAAAAGACTATAACTAATGACGCGACCATAGGATCTAAACCTGCCAAAGTCTATAGTCCAGCGCCTGGCAAAAGGCGTCCTACCACCCAACACCCAAATACAAAAAGATGCGCTCCTTGCTATGAGCAAAAGCGCAACTGTGTTTGTTAACTACATCACATCAACGTACGATTTCCCGTTTCTCCTGGCGACAGAAGACTTACGCGCCAATGGCATGCGAGTTCCCATAAATGGACATTCACTAACAAGCATGCAGCGCCGCCGAAAAAGCCCTCGCCAGCGGCAAGAAAACCGTCATGCCGAAAGACGTCTTCGACGCAATGACGGACCTAGAATTCTCCTTTATGCTACCCCGCCTCGAAGCCGAAGTCACAAAGTTCACGTCGATACAAGCCGACAAGCGGAACACGTACAGGAAGAAGGTGCGCGAGGAGAAGAAAGGCACTACTTCCACTGATGCAGCTACCTCCACACCGGCCAAGTCAGCGGCAAACGGGGACGTAGTCATGGAGGGTGCGGATGATGGTGAGAGGGCGACGAAGAGGGTTAGGCGGGAGAGTGGAGATGCTGGAGATGGAGAGGTTACGGAAGAAGAGGGGGATGAGACACAGGATGTGGAGGATGAAGAGGTTGAAGACGACGAGATTGAGGAGGAGGTTGTTGGGGAGGAGTTGACGGAGGATCCGCTGGAGGAGAAGGAGGACAACAAGGATGATGACGATGACGAGGATGGGAACGAGAGCGATTGAGAGTTGGACGTGTCGCGTCTGGATGGGAATATATCACTGCATGGGACGGCGTTCGGGACGAAGGACTGCAAGTACGGTTTGACACAAGACCTATCGAGGAAGGACTTGAATATATTGTATTCTTCCTGAGATATGTTGAAGCTGTCTAAGCCCATCAGCCATCTCATTGCATGAAGTCGTTGCTCTGCGCATGTTTGTACAGCTCGTAACGTCAGATACCCAGAGTGTCACGCGCAACTTGCAACCATGATACCATATGCTTTGCGCAGCCCCCGTCGTGACCATAGTCTTCGCGTGTATGTTTCAGCACTCCTCCAGCATGTTCATGGACTGCCTTCAACGCTTCGTCTTCGAGGGTATGCTAGCATCGAGCGGGTCACCGTATCGCACTCTATCTGTTAGCATGCTTCTTCGTGGTCGGTTAGAATGCACTTACGCCTAATCATAGAGCCCTTGTCAACAATGTTGTCCAACGCCCTAGCCTCCTCCTCCCTCGCCCTCGTGTTCTTCCACTCATAGCCCGGCTGATCCTCCTGCTTACTCCACTGGTAACCTGTCTCAGCATCCTGATGTGTCCCACTCCCACCCGCGCCGTTACTTGTCGCTGCTTGCGCCATACCGCCAGACAGTGGTCGCTTTCCGTTTGAGTTGACGCCGAGAGTCTCGCGAGTTGTGGATTGTGAGTTTGGTGGTGATATCTCGTTTACGCCTGCGAGGTTGGCGTTGAGCGGTGTGGCTGGGTTTGGAAGAGCTTCGTCGGGGAACATTTCATCGTCCGAGGGAACATTGGCGGGGGACGATTGCATGGTGGAGTCGCCGTCGCGGTCTGAGGGGCGGGTTAGCTGGATGCGCGGTCGTTTGTTGGACATGGTGAGTGATTGGCGTGTAGTAGAGGCTTACCTGACATGTTGAAGGAATTTGCCGGGGTATTTCCAGGGCGATAGCGGCGGTGAAAGGGTTTGCGACGCGTGTGGTTCGTCGCGGTGGAAGGCAACAGTGAATGACATAGCGGTGGAGGAGCTAATCGCGGCCCGCCGCAGGGGTCAAGGTGGGGACTCTCGAAATATTGGCGACATCATACCTTGGAACTAATCACTCCTCCACGCGACTCGAGCTTTTGAATCAACACCTCCTCTACTATCGCCAGACAGAGCACCCACGCATAGAGATCATGGCGCCAAAGAACACACCCGCCGATGCTTGGGAGGACGACTGGGAATCACTCGCCGACGTACATATGCCCCTCTTCTTTGACAGCAACGCGCTCACAAGGTATAGAAAGAAGACGAGAAGCCCGTAGAAGAGCAGCCAAAGAAGCTCACAAAAGCGCAACTCAAAGCTCAACACGCTGAGCTCAACAAGCAGCTTTGGCAGGCGGCGTAGGTTGCTATTTCTCATTATTGGCGACGCGACCTGACTGGAACAGCGAAAACCCAGAGCCTCAATGGTACCCTGAAGTTCACCCCGCGCCCGTCGCAGCAACCTTCAAGCCCAAAGTCACGATGCTTGCGCGCAAGCCCACTCCTCAAGTGCTCTCCCGTAATATGGCAGGCATGAGCCTCGACGATGACGATAGTGAAGAGGAGCGACGGAAGAAAGCAGCGGCAGACTTCGAAGAGCGCAAAGCACGTGCACAGAAGGAACGAGCAGAGAAGGAGCGCAAGTACGCAGAAGCACGAGAGCGCATATTCGGCTCACCAGCTGCTTCCGCCGCAGAGGACTCACGCAGCAACTCCCCCAACAAAGCGACCCGAGGGAAGGGACGAGGACGCGGTGGAAGGGACAGCCAGCCTAGATCGAGCAACGAGCAGTCGCCCGCCCGTACAGCACATACAGCTCCTGCGCGCCAACTCTTCGACCCTACCTACACCCCAAAGCCCGGCTCCGTATTCATACAGAAGAAAGAATCTGGTATCAGTCGCCCATCTACACCAAACACACAAGAGAAACCTGTTCGTCAGCCACAAGGACCCGCAAGAGGCGGTGGACGAGGCTTCGCTCCAAGAGGAGGATACGGTACTCAGGCAGGTCCGTCAACTTGAGCTTGCCGAGGCTTCTGTCGTGTGGACACACCTCATACAGGAAAAAAACTGAACAGGCCTGCAGACTACATCAAGACAAAGACCTGCAAAGTAGGTGGCCCAACGTCAACGTAGGCTCCAGGGTGTTCAGTTCTTTCCTAGGTTGGCGTGGACAGACCTCTTCCGCGTCTATCCTCTGAGGCGTGGATGTCTCTTGTCAGGACCTTTGTTGACGAGGAACAGAGGCACTAGGGAACGAGTGACCGCTGCGTCCAGGACTTTCCGAAGAGCTTCCGCACAATGGCTCCACAGTCACCCGAACAGTCAATTGAGCAGTCAACTGATCAACTTCCGCCTCCAAAATGGACATACGCTCACACCGCGACGCTACAGGACGACCTCGCCAAATTCACCTACTTCATCAATCACCAAGTCGGCAACCTCTCAGAGCATGACCCCAAGCGGAAGGAGCTACAGGACCTTATAAAGAAGGAGGTAGAACTCGACGACATGATGGGCCATATTGCTGCGCTTCACCCGCAGGTGAACGATTATGGAGTCGCTGGGGAGATACAAGGGGTCGCACAAGAGATCCCTACGAAGAAGGGAGCTCTTCCTGAACACCTACAGCCACCGTACCGTGACACCGAGAGGAAGCAGATGGCACGCGAGAAGACTCGGATGCTGAAGCATTCAGACAGCACGCCGGAGACGAGCGGTTCATGTGAGACCCCCGAGACCAACACACCCGAATCGGCTGAGGGAAGTCACCATGATGGAGGAGACAAGGATTACGTGCCGTGAGAAGAAGAGGGTTTATGAGAGTGGTCATTATCGGATAGGGAAGAGCTTGGGACAGTTTCATACTGGGATTGGAGGATGGCATCACTGGAAGGCGAAGGGAAGGGCAGGGCTTGGGACGTTTTCACATCAGAATACCGCACTTGCTAGTAATACAACGAGAATATCGCTTGATACTATCAGGTTTTATCTATGACGTGCGATTGAGACGCTTGGTAGCACCTTATACAAGGAAAAAACTGAACAGGTCTGCAGACTACGTTAAGATAAGTGCATGCAAAGTGGGTGTATTAACATTGATGTAGACTCCAGGGTCTTCAACTTTCCCTACAGCATCAAGAACAAGTCTGTACATGTTGAACTTTGTTCTTGATGCTGTAGGGAAAGTTGAAGGTGGGTATTGGGTCCTACGACATGGGTGGGAGCTATCGAGGGAGGTGCAAGATGTCTATGTTATGCACAGAATGATTCATGATATGAAGCATCTCATGTCTCGTTGACAACAACCTTTTTATTTCGACTATCGTAAATTACAAGTAAAGAACGACTGCTTCTTCATTTATTCTGGAGCTACATCTTGATTACACAAACATGTTTAAAAATCTCAAAAATAATGGAGAATCTCTTTCTTAATGCTCGTAGTCCATCGTGCTATATGATAGTGATGGTCTCGACCGGCGCATCGCTAGTCTCAACATCTTCCCAAGGAAAGACATTAGCACGACTCACTATCCGATAAAAGCCCCCTTCTACCTCCCGAAGTATCCATACATTACGAACACCTCCGAGTACGCATACCCAATCTCCGGGCTGCACCTTGTCCTGACTTGTACCGACGATATCTGCAGCAGTCACGAAGAGATTCTTGACACTCGGCTCCTGGAGAACTTTGAGATAGGCACGGCTCGCTTCTCTTCGCCACTGCCTTGGGTCTGCCACATCGCTGGGTAGAGCCTCAAGGCCCCGGAAAGCTTTATATGACTCGTACAAATCGCCTTCCCATATCCTATCATCGTAATTGAAGGTCCTGAACATTGACATACCACTTGAGAGATCGAATACAGCTCGTTCAGCATCCTCATGACCCCATCGCTCTTTGTCATCAAGCGCTTGACGGACAGTGTCCAGAGATAGCATAATCCTCGCTTCTTCTTGCTGAGTGACCATCGCGGAAGTTGACAGATCGAATGCGGAGGTCTCTTGCTGAGACTGTAAGCTGCAATTAATACGACTGATTTCAGTAATGCGCCGAGCGGAGATCCTAAGAGCTTTACACCCTCTTTCGATTTCGCAAACCTCCACAATGTTGTAATCAAGCACCTTGATTTCATGAGGATCGCGACATAGTCCTGTATTAGACCAATCGGGAACCCATGATGGAAGATCCTCGTAATTTACTGAGGGACGCCAACAGGCGCTCAGCCAGCTGACTCTCCCAACCCGAATCATAGCTACAGCAAATTCCGTATATACATCCTCGACTCGTTTGGTATAATCAACGTCAAGCACACAATCTTCAAAGCTACTGAGCCTCCCCAATGAACTGTAGATGAAGTCTCTTGGATCGGAGGACTCGAGGTTACTGCCAAAATACAAGTGAAGAGAGGCATACTCGTGACGTAGGAAGTCGCGTAAAGGAAGAGCTGTGATGGCTTCAAGTCTAATGTGTCTTGCGAAGATATTAGTTCCTCTTCCTTCCGATAAAGTTCTGGAAGATATGAACGTCCTCTCGGATTCAAGTAGTTCTTCTCGCCAAATATCGAGTTGACCACAGACGAATATAACGTGTTTGTTTAGCGCAACTTCTTGGCCGACCCACACACGCTTGAACCATGGGCGATCGAAAAAAGCGTTGATTGATTCAAGAGGTAGAGCTTCATATCTTTCTCTTAAGGCGTATCTGTGCTCATAAGGATTTGGGCAGTCATCGTTGTAGCGCACCAGTTCTCGTAGTGCCAATTCACTCTCATCTGCTGCAGGTCCAAGCCAAGCAAGGACAAGAGCGGCAGACGCGAAGATATTGCCCATTCGTTGAACTTGTATGCTCTTCTCGCTCAGGTTGCTTTGGTCGATACAGATGGCATCTATCCAGAATATGATTGTCTTTTTGTCGTCTTGCAGATGCTCCAAAGCGATGGCAAGATTTGCAGTAGCATGGAAGATCTTGTCGCCGACAAGGATCGGACGTCGAAGGTCAGGGTTCCCCCATGTGTAAGACAAGCCGATGTAGCGGGGCACTTGCTCTTCAGCATCTGAGTGAAGCTGACAGCGGGCGATGGTGTGTCCATCATGGTCGACGTTATGTGTCTTTGGAAGCAGGTAAAGATAGCGAAGTTCCGTACTGGGATCCTGAAGTGGTTGATGCTCAAACACTTCGGCATTCTGGATGTCGAATGGCGTTGGATCGATGAGATCAGTGAAGCGGTCAGTCAAGGCTGACTTGTACTCGTCGCTTTGGGAGCGGCACGACATCGCGCTTGATCACATTCCGAGTGATCGGGAAAGCAGCCAGAGAACAGTACAGACCGATTTGGAGTGCGATTTACTTAAAGTTATGGTATATTGGCAACCTGGAGGTTCAGCCTTGGAAGGAGCCTGAGGTTACCCCGCCCTCACGTGAGAGTCTTCCAATGAGGCAATATACTAAGCTCAATCCGGCGATGTGAATGCTAATAGGCAGGCGCAGCCTCGAGTGTATCTCAGCAGTGATGGTTCTCATGGGAACAATAGCAAAACTGCTGACCGTTCTAGACATGTCAGTATTCTGGGCAATCTTGGGTGCACTTGCAGCTGCCAATCTTCCAAAGTTTGTATATGTGAACAGATCACAACATGCAGTAGGCGGACTCCTTCTTTTCCGATGGTAATCGACCCGTGCTTTTACCTGGAATGGAAGGGTATGTAAGGACTGTATAGCGGCCGAAATCCTGACCACAGATGCGCGCAGCAGAAGCATCAAGTGGCGTTGATGTAGACAATATCAATTGCTGGAAGTTGAACTGTGATTCCAAGCTTAATTACTTGACTTACTTGACTTACTTGACTTACTTGACTTACTGGACTTACTGGACAAGAGAATACCCCTACCAGAAGAACTGCAGTACTATCAGTGTCACGCTGCCTTAATGAAAAGAGCCAAGAAAAGCCTTCTCGGCTAGTATACAATTTCTAAGACGGTGAGAAGATGTGAGGCGTAGCCGAAGCCGATCGCAAGCTCGAAGAGACTCCATAACGTATAAGCAAGGAATAAAACTGGCATACACCGATGCCCGGTGGAAGTAGACAGCTATACGGTTGCAAGAGGTCGTCCTGTAAGGAGTCGTACATCGTTTCCAGTTGTGAAGATCTACCTAAGCGGTCAAAGAGTAAGCAGGAAGAAAATTTTCAAACACAGAATACCTGGACACAAAAGTGAAGCAACAAGCAAAGAGCTTACTACACCACCAATAATCGGAGGTCGCACCTAGTCTCGCGATGCAGTACATAAGCGCAAGTCAATCCCCTCACGCGACAACTCTAACCCCTCCCAGAAGGCCCGTATACCGGGCGGGTACAACAACTTGAAGTACAAGCTCCCATGTCAACATCGGATAAACACCTTGAGCTGGCTTCCGGTACTGATTACCCCTTCGGAACGGTCAGCCATCGGCGCAGCAAGTACCTGTGCAGAGCCTCAGGTACCAAACACTAAGCGTAGTCTATGGCTGCTTTTCGTGGCAACTCAACACCCCTTCCGCGGCTCTTTTCGACGGTAGACATGCATGCGGCATACCTAATATCCGTGAAGATCGTTTGAGTGTATGGTCGAGTTGACTAACCGTTTTGTCTAGCCTATCCGATCGTACGTCGATCGACGCAAGCCTCGTCATCCGCAGTCGATGTCGTTGAGATAGCCTCTCTAGGCAGCAGGCACGGTAGAGCTGAAGCACTGTCCCTTTTCCACCCGCCCGGCAGCCGCAAAAGGAAGCAAGACCGTTATACGCGTCTCAAGCATCGGCAAGACGGTCACGGGAATCATGGTCCCGGGGTGGCGCAATAGCAGTTCCGTGTAGCGATTGGAGGTTACGCAAATCGTCCTCCGATATCACAGCGACGCCTACCACGATAGGGCAAAAGCAAACGCATGAAACTGGATCTTCCGCCTCACGATAGCAGCGACGCGGAAGGCGGAGACGCAGGACCCCTCTCACCGACGATTGACGAAAAAATTATCGATACCTCAACACGCTGATCGGAGCTCGTACGCGTTGCCTGAACGACGCACACAGCGAACGGACGACGTCGGGGTTGGCCTGTCACTCTCGCGGAGCCTCATGCACTATTCATGCTTCAACCTTGCTTGAAAGCAAATATGGCGGTGGGCGAAAGCTATGACGCAGGACAAAGTCCACCTGTCTAAACTGCTCGTCAATGCAGCGCGCTGCTGGGAGAAGCCTGGTTTCCATGTGGCTCGCTAAACGGACAGGCTTCTTCCCTATACCATGACTCACCGCTGAAGTGGTGCTTTTTCGATGAGCGGACGGCTGCGGAAGCGCGGAGTCTATTCAATGGAAATATGTGGCGAATATATCAATAGCAGTCACAGGATAGAGAGCTGAATTGCTCGCGTGATCGCCTCGAGCTGTTTCGTCGAAAGAGTCATCGTCCGTGTGGCGAGAGTCGCTAAGTGTTTCAATTATTCGCTATTGTTTGACGGAAGCGGTCAAATCGGAGACGCAGTAAGGCCGCCGGCGGTGACCTGGCCGATCGATGGCAATGAAATGTAAGACGAAGCGGACCAAGGCGATGGTGATGTTTGCCATCGGACGAGCCCCATCGCGAACGCGTCCGGACCCCTAGAGTGATCAATGATAAAGTGTATTGCGCGTTGCTTGTGATAATTCGTCCGACGTCCGTGATGTTGAGGCGACATTCCGCCACAGGGGAATCCACCGTTTCGCTTGCCACACCCCTGCAACGCGAATCGTTGTGCGCATGTGACTCGGAGCGTCCATGCCAAGCGTGTGCACCGCCACACATCGTCGAGTCTGCGGATACTCGCAATTACGGTGTATTGAATTTGCAATACACGAGCGAATCGTTGGGCTCGAGGAATTTATTCTAGGAGGTGCGTCATGCAGCTAGAGCGCTCGCATGTCGTCGACAGCGGTGCTCAGCTTGCGTCGTGGCAGACTAACATGGTTGCCTGCAATGCCTGGCGAATCCGCAGCGCTGCAGACATGAAACTGCATGCGATAGGGCTGCGCAAACCTGAGTGATGCGTCATAGCGATTGGGGTTAGTACTCGCGGGTGTCGCAGTTGCTTCTATACCGCCGCGTTCGTCTTATTCTAGTGGTCGTCTTGGAGACAGGTGGGAATACGGTGTAGAATCGACGGCGCTTCGTCTCTCGCTGGTCCACTTGGTGAGAAAGCCTCATTCTGAAATCAGTCCATGACGGTAGTAGCATGCGGGTGCGGAGAAAATAGTTCTGCAGGTCATGGGGAGTCATAGCAACGCATGATGTTGGTGGGTGCGAAGGATTACGCAAGGTGAGTTGTCTGATAGCAAAGTGGGTACTGGGAATTTTGACACTTCGAGAAAGTATTGTGGGAAAGCTCGGTAGGAACGCAACCCGATGAGCCCCAAGGACAAGGCCCGATGTAGTCCAATAAGGACCGAGCATCGGGGTCAAAATACAAATGAGAACTGTGTGCCGAGAGATTACAAGGAGCGTGTTGACGGGAGATACCAGGCTGTATGCGTCCAAGGCGCAGGCTTCATGCACAGCACGGATACAGGCGTTCCGCCGGAGCCAGTCAAATTGGAAGAGCGAGGTACTTGCGCTGCGAACTTGCTTTATCGAGCCGTAGTAGGTGCGAGCGGGGAGATCAAACCATGTAACCGCGACCATTTACTTTGTTGTTGACGCTTTTGATCGAATCAAAACGGCGCCGCTGGAGCGCTATGCAGCCGCGAGTGGGCCCGACATCGACAGTACCATATGCCTTGGAAGACGACTGCAGACAACGAAGTAGCGGTAAACAGCTGCGCGCCCCAGGCCAGCGAGTTGGAGAGGCTGTGAGACATTCGAGAAAATTTTCACGGGCGGGAAATTAGCTTAGGTACATGAGCAGAGGGAAGTTCGAGAAGGGATCCGAGCAATAGAGTGCGGCTCTGAGCAGTAGACAGGGCCTCCCTAGCAGTGATAATCGGCCCCAAGCGACGCGGGACGACGTTGAATGGTGGACCTTCCGCTGTTTCGGAGGGAAGGACTCCAGCCAAAACCTACCAGCCGTGTGCCGCGACGATGGGCCTTGTAGCGTTGGTACTAGGCAAAAGGTAGTTTACCAATGGGTACGTTTAGGAAATGGTCGCGAGCTGAAGGCGACGCTGGGTAGGTGTCTGGAGATCAACTCGAGCTATATGTCGCTCGGTAGCTGGTCGGTCACGGCAGGATTGGCTGCGTACGACGACCATGCGGGAGGAGCTGCGCCGGTGCCAGCAGGTGCTCGCAGCCAGAGAAGCACAGGCAGAATGGGCCGTGTTTTTGCATCCGCGCTGCAGCGAGCCGCGAGTCCTGCCCAACGACGCATCTGGAGGGTGAAAGGGTGTGGTGGAGCTTTGTTGGCTGCAAGGAGGGCCGTTTGAAGAGCGTTCGGCAGCAAACGAAACACGCTGAAAACGGTGACAGCTGGATCGAAGACGATGCTGCACGACATGTAGGACAGCAAATGAAGGGAGGTACAGAGTTGCGCTGCTTACGCTAGCCACGCTCGAAGGGGCATCTCTGAGGGTGTCCAGGATTACGGGTATATAGCGAGCAACATGATGTTTCCAATATTACACACCCAAAACAGAACAAATATAAAACAGGCTGGGCGCAATGCTCGTTAGGCATCAACGGGAGAGAAACTCATACATGCATACACACTGTAGAAGGCGTCCCGTCGAGTGCGAGAGAAGAGTCAGAGAGCGGCTTGGACAGTGTAGGGTTCGGGGCTAGCTTCCCAGAATACTCGTGGGCAATATGGGCAGGAGGCACAGCATGGTGCCATGGTCAATCTGACCCGTAGATGAGGGACTGCTAACAGCCGGGGTCCCTTGGGCTGTGGTAGTGCATGCATGGCGCCGACAGGGGGCGGCGTTAGGGTGGATGGGCATCCACAGTGGTCCGCGCGCGGAAAGAGCGAAAGAGGCTCGTCTCAAAAGCAGGCGCAGCCCGCCGTCGCTTCCTCGTTTGCGCACTCGAGCATCATCACCACATATTACCAAGCACCCAGACGTCAACGTCTACACTCGACTAGGATCCTCCAAACTGGATCCTTCTGGCACCCTCTAGCAACTATACCATACACACCCAATGTGCAGTAGACAGAGCCGGATTTCCCTTTCTCTCTCCTCCGTCGCTGCACCCCCATTCACATCCGCCCACTACCAACGCCCACGAAGACCCGCCTTCGGTTTGCACATCCCCAGGTGAAGCAGGCACCG